AAAACGCTAACCTCCTCAAATTGCAACAATAGCTTTGTAAGGTCACGCATTAGAAATGAATTAAGCGCTATACAACATTGAACTGCGTTCGTGAACCTCATTGGATAATTCGACATCGTTCGTGAATCTCATTGGATAATTCGCTGATTGGTAGTTAGTGGTGTCGAAAGTTTAACTTCGCCGTTAAAAGGACACAATGAAAGTCAAAATAACAATGAAGATCACTAAACTAAATATCAAAGGTAATAGTGTAACAACAGAAAACAAAGGCAAGGCAACAGATCGTTCATCAAGGAAATCAACACATCAAGGACCACAGAAACGGGTTGCAGCGTTTCAGTGGTCTGTGAGCTCGTCAGTCTTGTAACCACTAGGTCCTGAGTTCAGACCCTGTCGGTGAGTGCGTACTACTAGAGAGTCGCAATCTAGGTTGAAGAAACAGCTGTCTAGTACTCGTGGGTTTTCCACTGGTTCTTTAAACTTTGTCAACTTATGATGAAATCCTCCATGCATTCAAACAAAATCCCTACAAAACTAATACTTGAAGTGTTCCATACAAATTGAAATCAGTAATTCCAACGTTTTGTTCAGGTAAGCTGGTCTGAACTTCTTTGCTGGTTTACAGCGTCAGTAAGACTTATATCAATCCGTCATCACACTTGAAACGAATAAAATGTATACAACCGGTGTGTTGAAAATTGATATAATGCCCATTTATGTCCAGCAGTAGTCATCAGAGGGGTGTGATTAAGTTTGAAAAAAATACGACTCATACTGTTTACAAATATTAAGTAGTATAAACTAAATTACGAAAATAAACTGCTGATAAAGTATATATATTTAAAAAGGCAATCATTAACAACAGTGGTGGTCACTCTTTTTGTATATTTATTGAAGAATGATATAAGTCGAAGTGAAGAAAGAGGCTTGTTGTTCAGACACACTAAATAGCTCATCGAACCTAATACCTTCTATAGTTATTTCAATGAAACCGAACAACAAATGTAAAGTTTACAATTGGTGGATGGTGGCTAGCAGTGGAAACCAGGATCAGCATTTCGTCCTATCTGTGACTCATTATCCGGATGTACTTGCATTTCTCAGTGAGTGATGATGTTCCCACCGAGGCTCGAACCCATTACCCATAGTTTCAAACGCCGAAGCGTTATCCACTAGACCACTTGGGCCACGAGAGCCACCTCTTGTGCAACGGGTGATATATTAATTATTGAATTGAATTCTTGATTTTCCCGTCGATTGATTGGACCGAAGTGTTCGGTCTCAGGTTGACATGTCGGCTTCTTGTGCAGATACCTCGACAATGTCTGGGCATTTAATTAGTATACAATTGGTGGATGGTGGCTAGCAGGACGAAATGCGCATCCTGGATTCCACTGCTAGCCACCATCCACCAATTGTATACTAATTAAATGCCCAGACATTGTCGAGGCATCTGCACAAGAAGCCGACATGTCAACCTGAGACCGAACACTTCGGTCCAATCAATCGACGGGAAAATCAAAAATTCAATTCAATAAATGTAAAGTTTGTTTGAATTTTTATTACATTTATTTTCCATTCATTGATTTTATTGACCTGAAATATTCTGTCTGTTTTGACATAGTGGCTCATAGCACAGTGACTTCGACAGTGTGTCTAAGGATCAGCTTACTTTCGTTAGGCGGACGGTGACTAGTAGTGGGATCATGGATACGCATTATGTCCTATTTATAACCTGTCAGCTGAAGGTACCTGAAGTACTCGGTAACTAGTGGTGTTCCCACTATTATTCTAACCCTTCAGTGGTTGTTTCAAGTGCCAAAGTGATCTATTTTTATTAATCAGCTAGGAAAGAGAAAATTTGGTTATAAAACACCAAATAAATGGGGAAAGAATACCCTTTTCTTGAATTTACTCTTCTGGCTCTACAATTATATATATATATATATATATGTTTATATAAATAGAATATTCTAGTTTAGTAGTCAATAACAATATTAATGTTTTTTTATCAAACATCGATTTTTTAAGTAAGATCACAATGGAATTACAGTTAATTAAAGATGCTTAAATTATAGTAATAGTAAAAATATAAGAGCGAATAGAATATCAAATAAAATTAAATAAATTTCCGCAACAAATTGAGGATCTTTCGAACCTAGATAGCTAAGGTAACGACAATGCCTGAACTAGCTTCTTTTGAACCCACCAATCAGGCTTCTTTATGTGGATCCCAACAGCCAGCCTCAGCAATATTTAGTTAACGAACTCTTAAAGGGAGGTTAAGATAAGTTGGTATACGGTAAATGACTTTGAAAGCTGCCAGTTGACATCAATCTTGTGTTTTGTATCCACAACAATAGCGCTGTGAATAAAAATTTGTTTGTCCTTTACTTAACCACTATACAGGGTGATGTTCGGCGATCGGATGAGAAATGCGGAAATCGGAAACGCATTGACTCTTGAAATGACGGATAATGGGTTCGAGTCTAATTGAGAGCACTATCACTCACTGGGGGTTGGGGTTGGGTTTCAGGTGCAAACAGCCGGAAATTAGTAAATATTACGAAGCATACAGCCAACCAAATGGCAATCTCTACTTGGTATGAACAACAAATTTATAGGAATAAATAGTGAAAACATCAGGAAATTGAATTGCTAAGAATCTTGACCCATTGAACAACTTGACAGCGTAAAATTCACTCCATGCTATTGTATATAAGCTGAGATGTTGTAAATTCTGCTTTTTTTTAAACTGTTAAAAGTGAACTTCGTATGGACACGTATAGCTGCCACTTCACTGGTTGTACACTGAATACCAGATAGCCAGCTGGGCAGCCAGGCGAAACAGAGGAGCAAAAAGGGACACTATGAACCAACTGATCAAGAACCAGTTGCTCAAGAAATATGCAGAAGAAAATGCAGCTCGGTCAGATAGATACTGAGAATTTCATTGAGTGACATAAAATGTCAAGTCGCTGATCGAGTGCAATCGGATCAGGAAAAGACAAGTGTGGTGTAAGTTCAATTCGTGACATGGCGGATGTCATGTAAAGAAGAGATGAGGGATTTTAGGCGATTGTAGTGTCAGCTGAGGCTGATTGCACAGAACAGGGAAAAAACGTAATTGTGCTGTAGATGCCAATATTCCACTAAGAACCTAATTTTATATCATTATTAATCCTTTGGGTTCCAAGTGTAACACAGGGCTTCAACAACTCATCTCCAATTTCTTCTATTTTTCGTATTTTTCTGCAGCTTGTTGGCTCCACTAGTGACCATAATTTGTTGTCTCCTCCTCTCGAAATGATCTCCTCTGTGTCATCCTCACACTAACGAACAACTCGTCGCTTCTGATTCGAATTCCACTCGAGCGATGGCCTACAGTGAGTGGAATGTCATTCGATGGCCTTCTCAAAGTATGACTGATCAATCCATTTTCATTTTCTCCTACATATTTGTTGAGCGATCTGCTTTCACTCTTTAGTTTCTTCCCAGGCGGAGTTACATGTCTTTACGAGTTGATCACGGATTGATGTAAGTTAAAGGACCATTGGAAACTAAAGAGTACTGGATAGCTGTTATATTCTAGTTGTCCGAATCATCGGCAGTACGAACGCACTACAGGGGTTTCAAAACTAGGACCTTATGGGTACAGGGTAAGCTCGTATACCATTCAGCCACTGGGACCCAATATAATGGCTCATGAATTCTAACTTCTACTAATTAGTGATTTAGCGCGACCCCAACCATTGTCGTTGGTGGGACATCCATCCACACACGTGACATCTAATTGGACCTCACCGGTCACTTGCTGCTAATTATTTCTCGCCGGCCGACTAAACCATTTAAGTGAAGTGAATCTATGTTGATGAAAGTCTGCAACCTGTTAGAAATGCTTTTCGTGACACGTTGGCCAAGTTTCTGACTCGTATAGAAGAAATGACTGACTTACGTCACTTTTGTGTTGAACAGAAACCGAATCTTTTTTCTTTACACTGGCTGAGTAAGTTTTAGAAGATTCCTAAACTGGTTTCAGGTTGATGAATGCTTACGTTACCCTTCCGATTCTGGCCGGCTGGATGACTCTGACATTTCATTCTTGCTGACTGTTTGTGGTTAAAAAACAATGCTTCCTGGCCAAATGAGTGAAGGAAGTAACCTCTGACGAATCTCTTTCTCTCTCTCACCACTGATGTTGATTTGTGCTGCTTGATGTATCTGTTTCTCTCGGCAGTGGTTGGTTATCTTCACCACCACCGTCTCCTCTATGTTCACGCAAAGGATAATCAGCGGATGGTGACTAACAGTGGAACCCAGGATGCGCATTTCATCCTATGCGGGATTCAACCTTTGGATATGCGTACACTCCCCAGTAAGTAAGTGTTGGTGTACCTGATTGGTCTATCAGATAACGTACTGGCGTTTGAAGCGATGAGTACTTGGTTCGAGCCTCGTTAAGCCCTCCAAAACTCACTGCCGAATGCAGGTATATTCAGCCAGCTGATGAGTCCCAAATAAGACGAAATACGCACCCCGAATTCTACTGTCAGTCACTCACTATCCACAAGATCAGACATCTTTGAAGTATCTGTACAGGGAGTGGAGATGTCAACTTGAGAACAAAAACCTCGGTCAAATCAATCAACGTGAAAATCTAAAGTTGAATTGAACAGTCACAGATTAAATTCAATAATATCGCTTTTATCCAAATGTTGTACAAGTAGTCACAACAATAATACATGATCGAATAGTTAGTTAATTAGTTAGTTAGTTTAAAGTATGCCGTATACAAGAGTGTAAAGAATGCAGATTCACAAAGAATCTATGTAATCTGTTTCTATTTGATACTGTTTAACAGATCACAGTCTAAAGTGCGCATAGTTTTAGTTTTTCCCGTTATTTTGGTTTTTAGATCTCATTTAAGTGTTACAAAGGTTTTATCAGAAATTATCAAAACTAAAGTTCAATCTTTGATCCGGTTTATCGTTCTTAAGTTTTTTTTAATTTTTGATTTTTGTTTTCAATTAAAATAATACTACAATCTTGTCCTAATTCACACTAAAATTCTAAGTAATTGACGAAAGATGAAAGTCCATATTGAGAAATAACTCAAAACAGAATATCTCGAAAGATTCCAATTCAAATTTTTCTCAAGTTTTATATCTCTTAGAAATATGCATATATATATATATGTATAAATTAGATACCAGTTGCACAAAGTCTGCATTCAACACCAACACCATAAAATGAATCGAAACTGGTTGTACTCCATCACTGTCCTCATCTTCCTGACATCCATGAGTTCAGCATTAATCCCCAAACCATATGAATACAATCAAACAACTAAATTGTGTAATATTGTTGAAGCATTGGATATTACAAATGAATACTATTCATGTTTTATCCTAAAAGAAGCCTTAAAACGATTCGATGAACGTTTAGCTAAGAGTAATACCCCGTTACCATCAAATGATCCAGCTGATTGTGTTATCAATTCATTAACTATACAAATAGAACAATCGTGTGATGAGACAGAAAATAAACTTTGGCCATCTGATATGATGGATGAATCATGTAAGTAGGAGATAATGATCCCAGTTCAATCTCATCCTCATATTACAGACTCACTGAATATTGCTGATGGGGTTATTGGAATATATTCACAAGAGATATGGGGAACGCTGCATGCTCTGGAGACAATTCTTCAACTAGTCTACAGAAGTGAATCAGATTCGGTTTGTTCAATTTTTGTATTTGTAGTTTCTAAGCATCTTGTTTTCATCTACAATTGTTTTATAGAAAGTGATGTATGAAGGTGCTATCAGTGATGTACCAGTGTTTACACATCGTGGAATTATGATCGATACTGCTAGACATTATCTCAGTATCTCTGAAATCGAGAAGATGATTGTAAGTCGGCATGAATCGAAGTTGAAATATTCCTTTGTTATGCAGGATGCCATGTCGATGGTTAAAATGAATGTTCTTCACTGGCATGTGACAGACGATGAATCATTCCCTATGGCTATCACCGCTTTTCCTGACCTTTCTACACAGGTAAATTTATACATTTAAATTTATGCGTTAAATACTACGCTAAATTATGGTGAAGATATGCGGATGACACTTTTACACATACGGTGATAGTTTCTTTACTCACATCTAAACTCACTAGTAAAGGGAATACAATTCACACTTGAATCGGAAAATGAAAAAAGTGAATTAGCTGTGAAGAGAGATTGTAAAATAAAAACAACGCAAGAAGTTGGACTGCATACAATAACATATTCTGCTAATAGATGTCTAGACTTGAAGTCATGGCATCTGTTGTTATCGGTAACGGCAGACTTAGTTTAGTATCTAACAAATCGAGTGAGTGGAATTTGTCCACTTTTTACGATATAAAGTCAAAAATATTCGAAGCACGAATTCAGATCTTTGAATATAATAATAATAATAAAAGTGAGTTTGTTTCAAACAGTATTGTCAATTTAGTTTGGAGATTTTAGCATATTATTATAGAGTATTGAATCTAATGTTCTGTTGATAAAGTATAGTGAGGGGAAATACAAAATTAACAGTTATTAACACAGCTTAAATGATGTTCACGCTTATGGAAAAAATAAACAAACAAAAATTGAGAGGATTATAAAAATAAGAAGTACAATAACAATAAAGGCTGATGTTGTAAGGGTGGCGGAAATGGTTAATTTAGTAGTGCAAAGAAGGTTAGTTAGTTAGTTCATGCCTAACACTATTTCCATCACATAAAGTACATGCTAAATATGGTATAGTGGAATTTTTTACTTAGACTTACGTGCATAAAGTCTTCTGAAAAGATTTCCTGTTTTACTTGAGGACACACAAAGTTGGAGCTGCGGGTAAACTGGATGTTCACAGGCTGACAAAATCCCTTTCCAAAATTTGTTCCATGAAATCAAGTGGCTATCAATGACAGTGTCAACTATATGGTCCAATGGGATACCACTCACCGTACTGAAAACCTTCAGAGTTCTATGAAGTATGACACAGTCTTTTTTAAGCAATCCAGAAAGAATAAGGGTGGTGAACAGTAAAGAAGAATAGGTAAGATGCACGAGTTGACAAACTGTAAGACGAGTGGTTGGGTTATGCCTCAGTGCCTTAACTTCTTAATGTAAAATATCTGAAGAAATATTCTTTTGTAAATTGCTAAGAGATGGGAAAACCAGGATAGCTCAGAAGAAAGAATTAATCCAAGATATTTGACTTCAGACTTGACTTCTATATTAGTATCATCAATTTTGCAACGTTCATAGAAACCAACGGCTTCATTTAACTTTCTTTTACATCGGAAACTGAAATGAACAGTTTTACATTTGGAAGGATTTAGTTTAAAGCTGTTACACGAAGACCATTTGCTCATTCCTGATAGAAAGCTGTTCATCTTAGTACAGTCTAGCTATGAGTTAACAGACTTTGAAATAGTTAGATCATTGGCATACTTAACAAAGTTCATTTCATTTGAGTCAGGTAAGTCATGTAAAAAGAAATAAAAACAGGAAAGGAGAAAGGATAGCGCCTTGAGGGACACCAGCCTCAGTAAGCAACGAGGTGGACAACTTTCCCTGACAAACAGTGTACTGCTTTCTTTCTGAGTAATAAGAATGCAGCCATATGACACCCGAACAGTCAGTTTGAGTTTCGGCAAGCCTGTTTAACAAAATGTCTTTAGGTACTGAATCGAAAGCAAATGTATAATTTAGGAAGGTGCAGCGAACAAATTTAGCCCCCTTGTCTAAGCTGGAGACAATGCTATGATACAAGACTGCAACTACATCTAAAGTACTTCTAATGTGTTTATAAATGGATTGTGTGGGATCGTTAAAGGCTTTAAGTGAAGGCTGAAGATTAGTTAAAAGTAACTTTTCCATAGTTTTTAGAAAAGGAGACGTAATAGCAATAGGTCTAAATTTAAAACATGTTCCAGTAGACAGCCTAAGTATAGGTACAATTTTAGTGTTCTTCCAAACGGCTGGCACGACATTTCTTGAAAAAGATTCACCAAGTATGTCGATGGTAGGATAACAAATAATTCAAGGCATCTATAGTTCTACCGTATAGAGAGGAGAAATCTGAGGCCCTACGTAGGATTATTAATAAAGCGTGAATTAGAGTAGGATGAGAACTTTAGAGTTAAAGGACTCTGTTAGTTGATCCAATTAGACAAAGTAATATAGTTTACAAAATACCTTGTAATGACTGTGAGTGACTGAGGTCAACTACATAGGTCAAACCAGTAGATCGGATGCAGTCATATTATCGGAACATAAAGATAATTCTGTCGATGTTGACATGCTTAATAAATCCTTCATATTCTATACCTGTATGATTCCTAACTATGATAGTGCAAATAATGACTGCATTTCATGCTTTAATACTAATGATATCCTTAAGTGTCTTCAATCTCCCAAACCTACTTAGTCCCTTGGTCCTGATGGTGCTCCCGCTGTTATCTTAAGAAGTGTGCTGACATCTTATGTTCCCCATTAACCGACATTTTCAACGAAACTTTTCCCAAATGTATTACACCTGACTCATGGAAAAATATCAAGATTGTTTCGGTGCCTAAATCAACAAGTGGACCTATGTTAAGTTTAGACCCATTGCTATTACCTCACCTTTTTTGAAGGTTATGGAAAGACTCTTTTTACTTAATCTTGAACTTTCTTTAAAGCCTTTCAATGACCCCAACCAGTTTCTTTATAAACATAGTAGGCGTACCTTAGATGCCGCTGTTGTCCTATATCATAATATAGTCTCTATTTTAGATAGAGGAGCTAAATACATTCGGTGTGCCTTCCTTGATTACACATCTGCATTTGACTCTGTTTCCAGGTCTCTCTTGCTAAGTAAGCTTGCTGCAACACAGGCTGAGAGCTGGACAAATAAGTGGTTGCATTCCTATTTTTCTGATAGGAAGCAGTACACTGTCTACAATGGGAAGTTCTCCACTACCTTACTTACTTTAGCTGGTGTCCCTCAAGGTACTGTTCTTTCTACTTTACCGTTTTCTTTTTTCTTACATGACTTGCCTCATTCTGACGTAGCCACTTTTGTTAAGTATGCTGGTGACCTCTCTGCTTCTATGCCTGTCAACTCTCAGTCAGATTGTTCCAATTTAAATAACTTTCTATCGGAAATCAGCCAGTTGTCCTTTTCAAACGGTCTTAAGCTAAATCCGTCTAAATGTTAGGCGGTCATTTTCACTTTCAGACGAAAACCTGACCTACGGCAACTGGCTAGCTCACATGGCCCGACTATCATTGACGGCACAGAGGTTGAAATTACATCTGATGTCAAGCACCTTGGACTGAGTATTTCCTCTGATCTTTCCTGGTCCTCCCACATCTTGCTAGTTACCAGAAAGATGTTTCGCTTAACGCTCTGCGTTAGGAAATTTAGGCAGTCTGGTAAAAAGCCGTCTTTCCTTTCTCAGTTAGTCAATTCTTGTATTCTACCTATCCCTCTTTACTGCTCCCATAATTCTTTCCTGGACTACTTAAAAAGACTTTGCTTTGCTGAGAAGGACACTAAAAGCCGTTAGTAGAGCAAGTGGGATATCGTTAAACCAACTGGTTAACACTATTGTGCACAGACATATAATTTTTTGTAAGAACATACCGAATACAATATTGCCAGACGCTGAGCATCCTCTCTATACGCAGCTGCCTCCTTGCATTTCATCTGGTAGAACTAGAAGCAGATATAGGAAGGAGGCTATATGCTAGGACTACCACCAAGTACAAAATCTCAACAATACCATATCTGGCACAGCTGTTATGTGCGTGATGAGAAATCCGTTAGGTATGACACGATCAACTTACTGCGGCCCTCTAACAAATAGTCCCATTAGTTTTTTGTTTTCCTTTCCTCGTTACTATTACACTTGTTGTTCACATCTTCTATTACACACTAATTTTATATTTCATATCCTGTGATGGATTGTTTAAAATGTAAACACCACACTGTTGTTTTTTATTTATTTTTTTATTTATCTTTTTTTTGGGTGTTGCTTTTTGATTTTAAAATCATGTAAAATTTATGAGGTAATTAGATGCAATACAGTGTAATGCACGCTGAAATCTGCATACCTTTACCCAAATGCTGTTTGGAATAAAGCTGTTATTATTATTGTTATTATTAATATTATAAGTGCACCATGACTGGCCTCAAGAATATAAGTAATCTAGAAAGAACTCAGCAATCGAATTGCATGGATTAACACACAGCAAGACAATAGGGTGAAAGAGGATTAAAATCTAAGTAGATGGACATACAGAGTGGTTGATTACTGAATCTTTGTTCATAGAATCGACCACGTAACACATGGAATAGAAGTGACTCATCACCACAACCATAGTTGTGTAAAATACTAAGCCAAGAGTTTAAAAATAATGGAACTATATAAACAAAGATGGAAAGTTGTGTGAGCCACCTGATATGATAATGAACAGTAATAAACTGCTCTCGAAACGTGGTCACCAGTTCAATATTACATTTTTTTTTTCACTGTGAGACTTGAACAAAATAGTAGAATTATACTCAGCTAAAGTGTATAAGCTCTATTCTTATATCAAAATTTATCAACAATTTTATGTATGTAAAATAGGGATCTTTCAATTATCAACTTATGACGTATCAACGAAATGATGTTGATTCATTGATAGAATTTGCACGTTTAAGAGGGGTGCGTGTGTTACCGGAATTTGAAACTCCTGGTAAGTTTTGTTGTTGTTGTTGCAATAATTATGTCTCAATATATATATTTAATATTCCCATAGTAAAATTTAGAAGAACACATTTAAGCGTGAACGACATTGTTCTTTCATTTAGATCTCATCGGGGTTAACTCTAATATGTGCATCGGTGGCACAGTGGTTAGGACTGTCGCCGACCATGCATATGGTCCGAGGTTCGATACCCTGCCGACGTACACCTGATATCTATGGTCGGCCTGCAAAATTAGCGCTACCGATATCCATGCTGAAAATTCCATACTTGTACCAAAAATACGGTGTGGAATCAAGCTGTAATCAAAAATAAATAAATAAATAAAAATAAATAAAATAAAATAACTTTACAAATAAAAATTCAAATATAAACCAATCATGGTGTTTTTTTTTCAGGATAATAAGATGGTGAATATAAATTGTGCAATTAGTCATTATAGTAGTAATGATAATAATAGTAGTAATGGTTTTATTAATAATAAGGATGAAAAAGTGAGGCGATCTGTGATAACACTAATAACGAAAACAGCATGATTAAACAAACAAATGTGTTCAGGTAGAAGTAGTCGATGAAGGCTAGTGAAAAACAAATGAGCCGATTAAGTAATGTTAGATTGTAAGGGTAGTAAGTGAAACATGTTTTTATGAAGATGTGATAAGATTAAAGGCTGAAAGAAATGGGGTTGAAAATATAAACAAGCGGTGGTCTAGAAGTCATCAATTGGTTATGTCTTAATAGGTCAAGGTAGGGATAAAGGCTGTACGAACTTCTTTTGAATAAATGCATAGTTTAGGTTTAATAGTTCGAATGTCTATCGCTTGCCTCAGCTGTGTACAGTAGACAAATACGAAGTTAATTGGAAAGATTCTGTGGATATGCCGAATTACTTTGAAAGCTCTTGTTTTCTCCACTACATGACGAATATCAATTAAATGTGACTAAATGGAACTACGGATTGTTTTTCTCTTCCTTTGCCAAACCACGATGGGAGATGTTCGCTTACATGTTGGCTAAGCTGTGTAGTAGTACGTCCAACATAGCTGTCACCGCAGGTGCAGTTGAACTGATAAATTCACATGGATGTGGCAAAACCATCTAGCTTATCCTTCGTTTGTGTCCCAATCATTCTTCGGTTAGAAATGACAATCATAGTTAGGCTGCCTAAAACGTTCTCCGTATATTCCTGGAAAGTCTCTTGAACATAATCTCACTTGATAAGTCAACATTAAATTGTAACTTAATAAATAAAGGCTTTTTACGTGCAGTCAGAATTTCAAGTTTTCTCTCTGATGTTTTCACATGTTTCTTAATGAAACTACTCGGATAGCCTATCTCCGTCAAGAAATCGTGAATATATATTCAAATTCCTTTTGTAAGTGATCATCCGTGCACTTGTTTTCCGCTGTGGTCATTAGACCTTTAACAACATTTCTTTTATATTTAATGGACACGTAACTAAGGAAGTGTGTGTATCGCCCTGTGAATGCGCTTTTTCTATACACGCTTCTCACATGTGTCTATCCTTCTCGCCTACTTAGCAAGACATCCAGAAAATGCAGTTTATTCTCTTGAACCTTTTTACAAATAAAAGTAAGAGAAC